GAGACGAGATCACGTTCTTTACCCCCCTTCCAGTCCCATGCCATTCCATCACAGTTTCTGACTTTAAAGAGAGAGTGAGCATTTTTATTCATTCATTCATTCATTCATTCATTCATTCATTCATTCATTCATTCATTCATTAAATTTATATGCTGCCCATCTCCCCCAACATACCTGAACAGAGCAATTTTTTTTATATTACAGGCAATTACTGTCCCAAACCTTTCACCCTGACTTCTCTGATGGTGTCACCACACTATTTGGACAGCTCACTTGGACACTGCCTCGTTCTCCACATATCCCTTCTCCTCCTTCTCCTTCTCCTTCTCCTTCTCCTTCTCCTTCTCCTTCTCCTTCTCCTTCTCCTTCTCCTTCCCTTTCTTTGAATTAGAATGAGTGCTATCAGTGTAAACCCATTTCTAGCATGTTTAATGCTTGTCCTCTGCAGCAATGTTTTTCTCTAGACCATTACCCACAGTTTTAAACTGTGAAAGGACTATTCTAAACGATATCTCATGGTGTCTTGTCTCTCTACCTTCTCCCCAATTTAGTTCCACAAGTTTATGAGAAGTGCCTTCTTCAAAAACAGTGCTGGAGAAAATATTTCCTTTGATAACAATGGGCATATAATTGCTGGATTTGATATTTTCAACTGGGTCACATACTCAAATAACACATTTACAAAAGTCAAAGTTGGAGAGGTAGACCCAAACTCTTTCTCTTCCAGATCACTCAACATTCATAAGGACTCCATTGTATGGCCCACAAGATTTAACCAGGTATATATTTTGTACAGATCTGGGGACCGTTTAGTCCACATTTTGAAGGTACATAAGTGATTCCTTGTTCAGCTACTGAAGCAGTGAAGTCTCATTGAAGTATCAAACTTGTGTTTTGAATTGGGATGTGCTCTCCAATTTGGTCTTCAATGACAGTATATTGACAACCTTGTAAATAACTTCAGAAGAAGGGCATTATGCTGCTTAATCCAAAGTCTCAAATTCCTAATGGGGGAGCTGTGAGGAAGGCTGGAATATATGCCTCTTAATATCAATGGATTTATTCTACATTGTCTTTATTCTAGCTAGCAAAACAAAACAAAACAAAACATAAAGTTGGAGAAAGACCTGTATCCCATAAGTGAGTCAGACAATAAATGGTACAAGGTTTGGTTTAGTGGGCTTCATTGAAACAAGAGGGTATTGGCATTAACATTAAATCATCCAATTTGCTTAAACAGATTGTTGCTGTTTCTTATACTATCACTATGTATTCCAGTCAGAAAATAGAATTCTCCAGGTGATTAAAGTAAACAAACAATTTCTCTTTCAATGAAATTAAAAAGGAGAAACAAAACAGCTGCTGGGTGGGCATTCAAATATGTTCATGTTTGTTCTTTCTGGTGTTTGGGAATGGTGGTTTGAGCTAAAAATCTTGCTCATCAAAAGAAGAGGACTTTAAAATGCCTACCTGGGTGAGGCAGATTAATCCAACTGGCTTTACTGGTCTTTAGTACATAGTGATCAGTCAATTGTAGCATGTCATCAAAACAATTTCTTTGAAAACCCACAATGTCTGGGTTCAACCCACCACATTTGATATAGAAAAAGTAGGAGCTAACACATGGTTTGAATAAAATTGAACTCCATTTTTGCACATCAGAAGGCAGAAATAATAAAAATGAGAAAGAACATATTAGATGTCAGCCAACATCATTTAAAAGTAAATAAATATTGCTGAAGTTATTGTACACGAAACCTTAAAGGAGAAAAGCTTAAGCCCATGGAAATATTTTACAAAGATCTCCACAGTATGGTGGAAAGGAAGCTAGCTAGTTTTTATCCATTTAAGTGTGTCTTCTTTGCAAGGACTAATGCCCCCATGGAATGCCAAAGTAATTCTTAATCTATTCATCTTCATCATTCAGGAAAGACCCCGTTCCCTGTGTAATGACAATTGTCATTCAGGCTCTAGTAGGACCAAGATAGAAGGAAAACCCTTTTGCTGCTATGAGTGCCATTCATGTCCAGAAGGGAAGATGACAAATCAGAAAGGTAAGCTGTGTGCAGCTTATAACAATGAACATTCCATGGAAACCTGTGTGGAAGATAATTGAAGAGAAAGTGTCTCAGTTATGTAATATAGGAGAAAAATTGGTGCTGATGGGGATGAGTGAAATAAAGCAAAACATTCCATCCTCTCCCTAGTTCCTTTCCAAATGACTGGAGTAAAAACATACCATGTGAGCATAGCCATTAAATAAATAAATAAATAAGTAAATAAATAAATAAATAAATAAATAAATAAATAAATAAATAAATAGCCAAGGAATTCTAATAAAAGTAGGAAAAAACACATTTAGCTAAACATAGGCTCTGGGAACTAAGAACAGTTTAACAGTAACAGTTTAACAATAAATAAAAAAAATCCCTAAATTCATGGAATACTGCTTCTTTGTTCTCTCAAAACCACCACTGCATTGCAGCCCTGCCTCATTTTCTCTTAATTATGCCCTCACTAAATCACCCTCTGGCTGCCATATCCAATCAATTGCTGATCACCTCACATTGGGATTCCTGCAATGTGCTCCACATGGGGCTGCCCTTGAAGACCACCTGGAAGCTAGTTCAAAATGCAGTAGTTTGAGTAGCAATGGGCTCCTCTCAATGTGCCCATGTCTCACCACTGGTATGCAAGCTGCATTGGCTGCCAGTTGGCTTCTGAGAGCAATTCAGGGTGCTGGTTATTACCAATAAAGCTCTGTATGGCCTAGAGCCTGGACACCTGACAGACTGCTTATCTCCAGTCGTTCCTGCCCACCCGGTATGTTCCAGCAGAGTGGGTGTGCTCCTGGTCCTCTCCATTAAATGTTGCCAACTCATAGGACCGAGGAAGCATGTGTTCTCTGTTGGGACCCCCACCTTCTGGAATACGACCCCCCCCCCCAGAGATAAGGATGGTACCCTCTCTCCTAGGGTTCCGGAAAGCCTTGAAGACCTGGCTTTGGTACCAGGCCAGGGATTGATGTTTGTCACTGTTTAATGGTCCCCATTTTGTTTTGTGAATTTTGTTATGAGAGTATTTTAGTCTGGGCTGCCTGTTGATTTAATGTTTCTAGCTGTTTTTATGTTTGTTTGTTTTTTAGTTTTGTATGATGCCTACAGTCCACCAGAACTGGGCAGCCAATACATTTAACTAAATTAATAAGTAAATAAATTTACTTGTGTGTCCAATCATGGGCAATTTCCAATTTGCATAACTCTATATAAAGACTCTTATGCCTGCCTCTAAATCAATACAATAAGTCAACAGTCTGTGTTTCAATTTAATTATGGGCTTGTCTCCAATTTTAAATACATCTTTGTGAAAATTTGTGACAGAAATTTCTCCTGTAGTATCTTCCCCTCCAGAATATGTTCCCATGTTGTATTTTGAAAATGCTACATTAGATAATATGTCTGGGATATATATTCACAAAAAGGTAAGAATTCAACCATTGGTATGCATGGTTGGCTTCTAAAAATGTTGCTTTCATCATCTGTATTTTCCATATCCCATGAAGAAACATCTATGGCTTCACATACCACCTTAATTTAATCTGATGAACTTTACGCTGAATCATAACAATTACAAAATTATATTGGTCCAGATGTGTATCAGCTCAAATATTCAGTACATTAATCAAAGAGACACAAGAGTAAACAACAATTTGACTTGAGTCCTATTCTATGCAGGTTCACTGATTTATTACATAAGTAGTTTATTAGTGTCTTCAGTGTAGCCAGTAGCTCCGTAACTCCCTGGCAGCCTCCCATTGAAGTAGGAACCAGGACCCAGTGGGCTAAACTTCTTACTTCATTCAGTATTAGCCACGTCTTGATTAATGCAGAAACTTCTATATTGTAATAATAGCAATTTCTTTTGCAGACATGGATGATTGTTTTCCATGCCCAGAAGGAGAGTATCCAACCAGCAACCATGACTCCTGCCTTCCAAAACATATCGTTTTCCTGTCTTATGAAGACCCCTTAGGGACCAGTTTGGCTACTACGGCAATTGTCTTTGCTTGCATTGCCACTGTGGTGCTTGGGATCTTCCTCAAATATCAGGACACCCCCATAGTCAAGGCCAATAACCGGAACATCACCTACATTCTCCTCGTCTCTCTTGTGCTCTCGTTCCTTTGCAGTTTATTATTCATTGGACACCCTGAAAAGGTGACCTGCCTTTTCCGACAAACTGCTTTTGGGATCGTCTTCTCAGTGGCCATTTCTTCTGTATTGGCCAAAACCATCATTGTGACTTTAGCTTTCATGGCTTCAGTGCCAGGATCCAAGATGAGGAGATGGCTGGGCAAACGACTGGATAATTACATTGTTGTTTCCTGCTCCCTCATTCAAGTCGTTGTTTGCACTGCATGGCTTGTAATCTCACCCCCATACCCAGATGCTGATATGAACTTAGTGGCAGAGGAAATCATCCTGGGATGCAACGAAGGCTCTACTCTCATGTTTTACTGTGTCTTGCTCTACCTGCTTTTCCTTGCCATTGTTGGCTTCAGTGTGGCTTTCCAAGCCCGGCATTTACCGGACAGTTTTAATGAGACCAAGTTTATCTCCTTCAGCCTGTTGTGTTTTTGCAGTGTCTGGCTCTCCTTTTTCCCTACATATCTGAGCACCAAGGGGAAATACATGGTGGCTGTGGAGATCTTTTCCATACTCTCTTCCAGTGCAGGCTTACTGGGCTGCATCTTTTTCCGCAAATGCTTTGTTATTCTACTAAGGCCTGATCTGAACAATAAAAAGCAGTTAATGAGAGGCAAGAAAGAGGAAATATAATTCCATGACATTGTTTCATTGAAAGATACATACATTCACTGAAGATCAATCAAAAACTACAGCTTGTATCAAGTGGACCTGCCATGTTGTGGTAATTTCTTATCAGTCCTCCATGAGTTACCCTGGCTTCTACTAGGCTTCCAGGTAGAATTCAATGTGCTTGTTACAACGTATAAAGCCTTCAGATCCCTAGGACCTTCTAATTTACACAGTATTATTATTTAAGTGGAATTAAGAACATTGTATATTTTCCTACAGAAAACAAATTATATGTGATTATTTCATATTTTTTTTATGTGTGCGCATGTATGAAGGAACCAAGAGGTAGTATTTTATGAAATATATGCACAGTGTTGTGTGTCTGTGTGCGTCTGTGTGCATGCACGCACACAGTTGTGAAGGAGCAAAGAGGTAGTATTTCATGAAATATATGTACAGTGTGCAATTTGCATCCCTCTGTGTGTGTGTGTGTGTGTGTGTATGTGTGTGTATGTGTGTATGTAGAAATACTACTTCTTTGTTTCTCCGAAACTCCACTGTTTTTGCAGTCCTGGCCCCAGTACCTCATAATTACACCCTAATTGTTTCACTGATCTTATGATGCATTATATCCAGTCCAATACTTGCTGTAGTTTATATCAAATCAAATACCATATGTATGCTCAATTCCTCATAAACTTATAATGTGCTGTAAGTTTTCCCAACTTTTGTCTTTGCCTCCAGAATGGTTGATAAACCAATTTATGCTTCAATATAATATCTACTGGTCTCCAGTTCAAACATTTTTTATTTTGTTTATTTCTTAATCAAATTTATACAGCTGCCCATCTCGCAATAAAAACAGCACATATATGAAAACAATCATATAAATATATAAAAAGTCAGTGTTAAAAAGTAAATATTATTAAAATTAAAATATACAAACCCCAGGCATGGAGAGAGTGAATATATCCACTTCAGTAAGAGAGCCATTTGAACATGTCTCCAGTTCCCTGGGATCCCCAGGCCTGGTGACATAACCAGGTCTTGAGGGACTTACGGAAGATCAAGAGGAATGGAGCCAACTGAACATTGGGGGTAGAATGTTCCACAAGCCAGGTGCCATGGCAGAGGTGGCCCACCTCCTGGGACCCACCAAATATAAGTCCTTGGCAGCTGGTAACTACAGGATGCCTTCTTTGCCAGATGTAATGGGACAGACTGATGTAATTGGGAACAGGTGGTCCCTCATAGCCTGGCCCTATGCCATGAAGGGCTTGAAAGATTAAAACCAACACCTTGAATTGGACCCAGAAGCAAACTACCAGCCAATGTCACTCACAGGGCAGAGGTGTGACATGTGATGTTCTAGGAGCATACATAATTGCCTATGTTGCTGCATTCTGCACCAACTGAAGCTTCTAGATATTCTTCAAGGGCAGCCCCATGTAAAGCGCATTAGAGTAGTCCAATCAGGAGGTGACTAGGGCATGAGTGACTGTGAGCAGAACCTCCTGATCCAGGAACAGGCACAACTGATGCACCACACGAAGCTGTGCAAAGGCCCTCTTAGCTTCTCTTCAGAGAAAAGATAATATCTTCATTTATTTTTGACTGGAACCCCCTTAGGGACTTTTTGTATAAAACAGAAAAAATTAACTTACAATTTCTAGTTTTGATGATTCGACAGGATAGATTATAGAAAGAAGAGAGTTATACTGTAACCTTAGAGTAAGAGGTAAATTTATAATTGTACTTATAACTGCTGTAAATAAAATTGGAAGCCATTTCTTTGTATTTTTTAATTTATTTTCTATTTTTCTTTCACTCTTTTCTTGCACTTTTAGCTTTCTTTCTGACTTCTTTCTTTTTCTTTTCTTTTTCTTACTTTATATTAGTTTGTATAAGTTTTTATCTTCCTTTTGTCTGTCCTTCCACAGGAGGGTAAGAGATATATTTACCACCATTTGTCCTAAAACAGATTGAATATATCTAAGAATATCACTGAAATATTTTGAACAGTGTGCAAGATTAACCGTTTTCTTGGCAAAATGGTGTAATGAAACATGGGATAATTCTATCAATTGCAAATATTTCAAGCATCCAAAGGGAGTATTCGATCTCAGAACAAAGACTTTGAAACATCCAGGTGTGATGGAATGGAATTATGAAGGCCACACTCAGGGAGAGAAACATCCTCTTTC